TTCCTTTTTTTTTTTTTTTTTGAAAATGTATTTTGGAGTAATATTTTGATGGAAAATGTGTGGTTATAAAATAAGGAAAAATTTTGAATTTGCGTTTGATATTATTTTATTGAAAAATGTGTAATTGAAAATAAAAGTGAAAAATGTATTTTAAAAATAATGCAGATCATACAATGGCTTAAAATAAAGTAAATATATTATCAAAAGTAAAAGAAATAAAATGTTCACACACATTAAAACCAAAAAATAATTCAAAAATAACTTTTACTCATATCTAAATTTAGGGGTTGTTTGACCCCCATTTTTTTTTTTTTTTTTCAAAAAATGCATTTTAAAATAGTGTTTTGATGGAGAATGCGTGATTAAAAAATAAGAAAAAGTTTTGAATTTACGTATAATATTATTTTATTGAATAATGTGTAGTTGAAATGAGGTCATATCACTGTTTAGAAATACATTTTATTGAAAAAATGAGGCTCAAACAAGCTCGATAAATAAAGAAAACGGGCATTTATTATTATTTATTGACTAGTCTCTGTATCTCTCACCCTCTCTTTTATATAATTCAAATCAAATACATTGTATCTATTATCTATATCTTTGGGCCAATTTTAAAAGGTAATTTATACTTTCTTGATAATTATACCACATTTTAACTCTAATGAACGTTTTCAACACTGACTCATTTTACTCTCAATAGTTCCAACTGGTCGATTGCATTTTTGTTATCAAAATTCCGTTAATTAGCATATATTCCGTTAAAATATTTAGACAGAAATTGTCATTGGAGAAAAGATACGATAAATTAATCGAAAGTTAAGATAAGAATGAGAAGAAAACAGTTGAATAAACAAGTGCAAGAATCAAAAACTTTAATTGCAATTAAAATATGGTGCAATAAAAAATATGCTTGTTTGCGAAAAAAAAAAATATGGTTTAATATAGTGTAGTTAATAAAAATTATGGTGTAATATATAATTACGATGCCAAATAATTATTATGCTTGTTTGGGAAAATCTATTATTGTCCAGTTTTTCCCTTTGTACAGGGGAAAACTGTCCAGAAGCCTTGCAGGTGTTGTTGCAAGCACTTGTGTGGCTACATTTTTCCTTTTTTTGTCGAGTACCAATGAGTATATGCCACATTCCGCCCTTTAAAGAGCAGACGATTTTTCCCTGTACACCAAGCATGACTCATTTAATTGCGAGGATGAGTAATGAATTAACAAAAATGTGTGGATAATAAGTCACTATTGTGAGGATGATTAATGAATTTACAAAAATGTATGGATAATAAGTGGTTGCTAGTAAATATGTGCTTAAAATTAATATTTAGGTGAATATAAATCTGTAAAATTAATGTTTAATAATCTTTAACTTCCCTATTTTGAACTGACTACATGTTCAAATATGCAAAATCCTTAAAACTGAAAGTGGTTTTATTTATTTATTTTTATAAAAAGAAGAAAAAATATTAATTAATTACCTTTTTTTTTTTTTACCATTTCTTTACCTTTTTCGAGTAAATTCTAGGCAGATTTTTTATTATCATAAATTATACATTAAACCTTGCAAACAGTGTGTGTGTATGTAGGGGTAAACACAGTATTCCAAATGAAAACAAAGGGGAAAAGGAGAAAAAAAGAAAAAACCAATAGAAGGAGAGAGAGGTGGTCATCACAGAAATTGTACTTGTTCTTTAGGGTTTGATCCAAATGTTAAAGGATTGAAACCCTGAAGAGTAGTTAAACTAAATCCTTCCCTCATCTCTCTTCCTTCTTCTTGCTTAGAAAAATAACACAATTCCAGCAGTTCTTGAATTTGCATGCAGCATTGAAGGAATGAAGGTTTGTCCAATTTTCTTGATCTTTAAGCACGTTTTCTCTGCTTCCCCGAAAATTTAAATTTTGGGCTTGTTTGGAAATTTTGTTATGTAATAATGCAAAGAAAATGAATTCTGATCAAAGAAAATTACTTTGCGTTGTTGTTGTGGGGGTGGTAATTTGTGGGTTTTTGGGATCTGTCAGTGGTGTCACAAACCAAAATGACTTCAATATTTTGAATGATTTTAGAAATGGATTGGAAAATCCAGAGCTCTTGAAATGGCCTGCCAAGGGGAATGACCCCTGTGGCCCTCCTGCATGGCCTCACGTGTTTTGTTCGAATGACAGAGTCACGCAGATTCAGGTACAGGGCCTCGAGTTAGAGGGACCTTTGCCACAGAATTTGAATCAGTTGGATGAACTACAGAATCTTGGGCTTCAAAACAACCATTTCAATGGAAAATTACCAAGTTTTAGTGGATTGTCGAATTTGCAATTTGCTTACTTGGATAATAATGATTTTGATATGATTCCTGCCGATTTTTTTGATGGACTTAGTAGTGTTCGCGTTTTGGCTTTGGATAGTAACCCCTTTAACGAGAGTACTGGATGGCCTATACCTGGTGAGCTAGCAGAGTCTTCACAGTTGGTGAATTTTTCTTGCTCGAAATGCAATTTAGTTGGACCACTACCTGATTTTTTTGGAAAGTTGCCATCTCTTACTTCATTGAAATTGGCGTATAATGGGTTGACTGGTGATATACCCTCGACTTTTCATGACTCAATGTTGCTGGTTTTGTGGTTGAATGATCAAAATGGAGGAGGGATGACCGGTTCCATTGATGTAATTGGAACTATGGTTTGGCTGACTCAAGCATGGTTACATGGAAATCAATTCACAGGATCAATTCCGGATGATATTGGGGACTTAACTTCCTTAAGAGATCTCAATCTCAATGGAAATCAGTTCGTTGGGCTAATTCCCCCGAGCCTGGCCAATATGAATCTTCAAGCCTTGGATTTGAACAATAACATGTTCATGGGTCCAATACCAAAGTTTAAAGCAGTAAGTGTTAGTTATGCTTCCAATTCATTCTGTCAATCTGATCCCGGAGAACGATGTGCTCCTGAAGTCAATGCACTTTTAGAGTTTCTTCATGATTTGAGTTTTCCCCAAAAACTTGCTTCTGAATGGGTCGGTAATGATCCGTGTCAAGGACCTTGGTGGGGGATCACTTGTAATCTAAAGCACCAAGTTTCAGTCATAAATTTGCCAAAGCTCGGGCTTAATGGTACACTCAGTCCTTCACTCGTGAACTTACCTTCATTACTCAGAATCTGCATGGGAGGAAATAATCTACACGGAACAGTTCCTGCAAATTTGACTCTGTTGAGATCATTGAGATTGTTGGATTTAAGTGGAAACAATTTTGATCCGCCATTGCCTAGATTTCATAATGGTGTGAGGCTAATCACTGATGGTAATCCAAAAATGGTTGCTAATCGATCCAAGGGATCGCCTTCACAAACTGATGGCCGAGCACTGTCCCCTTCTCCAATTAACAGTCCTTCGCCAAGTATGAATTCACCTTACATCTGTCCATCATCTGATGGTGATCAGCCACCCTTATTGGATTCTCCGCCTTCACCTTCTGGAGGTTATACTTTGGAAAAACCCGAGAACTCCAAAAAGCCCAAACTAGTGGTTATTGTGGGTTCTGCTTCAGGTATCTTTCTTGGAGTTCTTTTGGCTATTTACTGCCTTAGCAAAAGAAGAGAGACAAAAAAGGCACCTGGTGGTGGTGTTATCCATCATAAGGTTTCATCTGATCCTAGAAAAATGGTGGAGATTGCCGTAGCAGATAATTCTGCCTTGGAGACTAAAAATACTACCAGCACTGAGAGTAAAACTAGTGATTGGTTGGAAAAAGACGCTTGTTTCATCGAGGCAGGACACCTGGTCATTTCAGTCCAGGCACTTCGCAAGGTGACCAATAATTTTGCACAAGAAAATGAGCTTGGACGTGGAGGTTTTGGTACAGTTTACAGGGGAGAATTTGAATCCGGAACGAAAATAGCAGTTAAAAGAATGGAAGCCGGGGTCATTAGTAACAAAGCACTGGACGAGTTCCAGGCAGAAATTGATGTGCTTTCAAAAGTCCGCCACCGGCATCTTGTATCCCTTTTGGGGTACTCTATTGAAGGAAATGAAAGGCTTTTGGTTTATGAATACGTGACTCAAGGGGCTCTAAGTAGACATCTTTTCCGTTGGGAAAAATTGAATTTAGAACCTTTATCTTGGACGAGAAGGCTTTGTATTGCCCTCGATGTTGCTCGAGGAATGGAATATCTTCACACTTTGGCTCATCAGAGCTTTATACACCGAGATCTCAAATCATCTAACATTCTTCTTGATGACAATTATAGAGCAAAAGTTGCAGACTTTGGATTGGTGAAATTGGCTCCCGACCGAGAGAGGTCTGTTGCAACCAGGTTGGCTGGAACTTTTGGATATCTTGCACCTGAATATGCTGGTAAGACTATTCTTCAAGCAATTCTTGAAACTAATCTTATATTAATTATAGCTTCTCCATTGACACATGTTCTCATTTTCTTTCCAGTGACTGGGAAAATTACTACAAAGGTTGATGTATTCAGCTTTGGAGTAGTATTGATGGAGATCTTGACAGGATTGGTGGCACTTGATGAACAACGCCCCGAAGAACAGAGATACTTGGCCGAGTGGTTTTGGCAGATAAAATCTAACAAAGAGACACTTATTTCTTCTATCGATCCTGCACTTGATGCAAAAGAAGATATATATGAAAGCATTTACATTATTGCTGAACTGGCTGGACATTGCACCGCACGAGAGCAAAATCATCGCCCTGATATGGGACATGCTGTGAACATTCTCGCCCAACTGGTCGAGAAATGGAAACCAGTCGAAGAAGCAGATAAGTGTTCGGGAATTGATATCACGCTGCCTCTTCCTCAAATGTTGAAGGGTTGGCAAGAAGGAGTTTCACAAGATCTGTATGGTGCTAGTCAAGACAGCAAAGGGAGTATCCCGGCTAAGCCATCGGGATTTGCAGATTCGTTCACTTCGGCTGATGCTCGTTGAGTTTAAAGTAGCATTTTGCTGAAATGTTTGTTGTCTTCTCGTAATAAATGTCTTCTTGAACACTTTTGACATGTTTGGTAGAGAGATTGGAGGGGGAAAAAAGAAGAAGCTAGAATCTTGTTTATATAATACTGAGCGCTACACTGAGCAATGAAAATATGAAATTACAATGTGATTTTGATTATTGTAATGTTAAAGCTAATGGAATGAAAATGCGCGATATCATGTTTAAGCACTTGGTAGCTTTCATGTCTCGGAAAAACTAGACATGTCAAGTGAGTCGTGCCAACACATTTAGGCATGCGGGCCAGTGTTTGCTCGCCCTGCAAACGTTGGCTCGACCTGCCTTCCAGGTCTACTTATGACCAAGACAAGCTTCTATGTCAAGCGAGTCATGCCAAAATATTTCCTGGACTATTTTTTAACCACCTGGGTCGCAAGACGTCAGCAGCCCAGTGGATTTTAAGTCGAGGAGCCCAGCCTTCCTCCCGTGTCCACTTGTGACTGAGACCAGCGCTCTATAACTGACTGTAGCCTTGCTGCCAGAGAGTGTTGGCAGATTCTTTTAGCTATCTGGCCTCTATTTGACACACATTTTTTCAAAATTTATTTTCAACCACATATTTTTTAATAAAATAATATTTTCAATCACATCAATAATTTTTCTTTACATTTTAACCACATATTTCCTATCATATCACTATTCAAATACATTATTTTCTCAATAATATCCATCGAACACATCCTAATTGTATGTCACTATATTTTCGCTTGCATCTAAGGCTTGAACCATATTGTTCTTTGATGTTGGTCGGCGATTTTACATCTATTTAAAAGTGTGTATATTTTTCATTTTAAGTTAGGGAAGTCGTATGTTGTGCTCGAGGATCCAGAGAATAATCGTGAATTTTGTGTTATCTTTCTTCCTTTTATCAACAACAATATCTAGTGAAGTAAAGGACCGTAAGATAAGGAATATTGTAGGAATTGGATCGAATCAACCAACCGAAGAAATCGAGTTGAGCAAACAATATGTTTTGTCATATATTTAAGATAGTAAAAAACCAAAAAATCTGCCAATTAACCTTATTATATCTATAAATTATGTGACGTACACGTGACGGAGGGAATCCCACATGGACGACTCAACATTCATTATTCGATTATATTTAGAGGTGGCAATCGAGCCGCTCGGCTAGTCAAAAAACGAGCCACGAGCCGCTCGGGCTCGTCATTTGACGAGTTCGAGTCCAAGTCCAAGCCGAGCCTGCTCGGCTCGTTTTTTAACAAGCGCTCGTGGGTTTTTTTTATTTTTTTTTTAAAGGTTTAGAACAGGTATAGTTATAAAAAAAAATATTAAAAACCCCGAGTTTGACCCACGAGTAACGAGCCGAGTAGAAGCTCGACTCATTACAAACGAGAGCTCGTGCAAGCTCGTGTGTATACGGGCCGGGCCGGGCCGGGCCGCTAATTATATTGGACCTATTAAATCAAGCAAATTCGTCTTGGGCTTGGTCCATTAATCCACTTGGCTAATTTCTATTTCTTGATATATAGGTGAGTGCATTCACAATTAAGGTAATGTAATTCTAATTATAGTCAAATCTCCTCTTCCTCTCTTGCACTCTTATTATATTTTGTACGACAATTGACTTGATCGTCGAGTACAAACGATCGTTGGATATTTTTCTTGACCAACGGTCTTTGCCTCCTAATGGTGTATTACAGTGTACAAGAATGCATACGTAGAGGAAAGCTGGTCAAGATTCCGTTGACGCAAAAATTGAGGTCAACAAACCTAACGATTTTACAAGTTTTGCAAGTTCAAGTTTTCATAAAATTGAAGACCAAAATTTATTTATTTGGTTTTGTTAACAATTAGTTCGATTCTTTAACCATTCATTATTTACATATTTTTAATAGATAGTCGTTTATTTTTCAAGATATTAAAGATAAGTATTGTCATTGCCAATGTACACTTCCAAACAGGTTCAATGATGTTTCAAATTTCAATGCGAACTCGTCTTCGTTGTGGTCCTCTTCAATATAGCATATTTTAAGGATTTATATTCGATTTATACTTAGGATTCAAATAATAATCGTTAATCTGAATAACTTTCAACAGTAATTTGAAAAACGATGAGCCTTCCCGCCTTCTCAGTTAACCGAACAACCACTCAACAACTCCTTCCATCACCATCGCCGCCGCCGCCGCAAGCCGCAACATTTCATCTCAATATACGAGTCCTCCATATAGGTTGGGACATTTGTCTTTTAAAAGACTTGAAAATATAGGTTGGGACATTTGTCTTTTAAAAGACTTGAAATTTTAAAGGATCAGTTGCACCTCAAAAATGAGAAGAATGACACTGCTCCCTGTTATATCTGTCCCCTTGCCAAACAAAGGCGTTTACCTTTTGTTTCTAATAATCATTTAAGCTCAAACCCCTTTGATCTCATCCATTGCGATGTATGGGGCCTATATAACTCTTCCACTCGTGATGGTCATAAGTTCTTTCTCACCATTGTTGATCACTACACGTGTAACGACTCTGGTCCCACTTAACAGGCTGTCTCGGCCGTTAGATCGATGAGTACTGTCCTCACTGTACAAACATGAGTCTTTTCAGCATGTTTTNAAATAATAATCGTTAATCTGAATAACTTTCAACAGTAATTTGAAAAACGATGAGCCTTCCCGCCTTCTCAGTCAACCCAACAACCACTCAACAACTCCTTCCATCACCATTGCCGCCGCCGCCGCAACATTTCATCTCAATATACGAGTCCTCCATATTTCCATCGCTGGAAAAGCACCCACAGCAATAAAATTAACGTTACTCTTGAACCCACCACAGCATCTTGGACCACATCAATAGCCCACCACTGCAAGAACGGCCATTTATCAAAAGCAACCTTAGGGTTCACCCGAATGTGACTCTGCAGCGTCGAGCCCAATTACATAACTTTTGTCACTCTTTTTCCTGGTTGTGCCCATTTTCTTCCAACAAGCTCGAACTTTAGGTCCTTTGCTTCATGGGTATGTTCGAAAACTCGGGATGGATGCTCACATTGTGATAGTGGTCATAGGAGTAAATTTAATCAATCATCATTGAACTTCAAAATTGTTACTACTTACTCACTCATCTTTAACGTTTTGAAGCCAATGGATCCAGCTAGAGGTTAACTGAGCTTAGCTGTCTAGATCACATGTAATGCATCAGTTGGAGTCTAGTTAGTTTAGTTGGTTAGATATTTTAGCTGTAACTAATTTTCCCGCCGTTTATGTTTCCCGCTTTTTTTCATTTTTCAGCTTGTATTTTTCAATTGAGTTGATTAAGATTTTTCTCAAATTCATTCTTCTCTGTAATATGGTATCAGAGCGATACACATCTTCTCAGCTTCGCAATTGAATTTTCATTACTGATTGATGTTCATTGATCATGGCAAATGATCCAATTCAAATTTCATCCTCTTCGATGAGTCATTCCGCCAACGAAGATGGCTCCAATCCATATTATCTTCATCACTCAGATAATCCTGGTCTTATACTTGTTTCACAGCAATTAATTGGCGAAAATTATACATCCTGGAATCGTGCTATGTTTATAACGTTATCAGTGAAGAACAAGGTAGGATTTATAGATGGATCTATCGTTCGGCCTGATGATGATTATGATCTTCTCATAGATCTACAACAACAATATGGTTGTTTAGTGGACGTTGATTCTGTATCCAAGGAGATTTCAGCCAGGATAATATACTCTGAATCGGTACATGAAATCTGGACTGACCTAAATGAGGGTTTCCAACAGAGGAATGGTCATCGAATTTTTCAACTAAGGTGTGATCTAATGAATCATACGCATTGGAAAATGTCATTCAATTTTTACTTCACTAAGTTGAAGACTATATGGGAAGAGCTTAGCAATTATAGAACTTCTTGTTCCTGTGGAATATGTATCTGTGAAGGGAACAAGAAATTGATGGAGCACTATCACATGGAATATGTGATGTCTTTCTTAATGGGGTTGAATGAGTCCTACGCTCAAGTAAGGGGTCAGATATTGCTTATGGACCCAATTCCCCCAATTAATAAAGTGTTCTCTCTCTCATCTCTCAGGAGAAACAACAAAGGGGTGTAAATTTGAATACTGGAGCCTCTGATTCCTTGGCTTTTTATGCTAAAATTGATGATATGAAGCCAAATCCACCACAGTCTTATAACAGGAATCAAAGGAGAGATAGGCCTATTTACACATACTGCGGTTATGGAGGTCATGGAGTTGATAAGTGTTACAAACTCCATGGTTATCCACCTGGATACAAGGCAAAACAAAGGGCCGGTTCTAGCAATCAATCTGGTTTTAAGTCAAATACCGTGACTAACCAAATTTCTGATTCAATTTCAGGTCAAACTGCTGGCAATGTTGGGAACTTTTTGAAAACTTTAAATCCTGATCAGTACAAGCATTTGATGAATATACTAACCACACACCTTGCTGTTGCAAATGTAGGAGATGAGAGTGTGAATTCAGACAACGTATCAGGTATATGCTTGTCTATTTCAAATAATAAGATGTTGAATTCTGCTGATCATTGGGTTATAGATTTTGAGGCAACTAGTCACGTTTGTTTCAACCGTGCATCTTTCAAAACATTAAGAGCAGTACAAAATGCCTATCTTACATTGCCTAACCAAGTCAAGATTTCTGTACATTTTAATGGGATTGTTGAGCTCACACCTGAACTGACTCTTCAAGATGTGTTATTTGTGTATCAGTTCAAGTTTAATATGTTATCCATTAGTTCTTTAACAAAGGATTCAGATGTAAGTGTCAAATTTTTCATTGATTACTGTACTATTCAGGATCAGTGCAGTTGGAGGATGATTGGTAGGGCTAATGTGATTGGAGGCCTTTACATCATTAAGGCAAGATTTGAAGTAATGAAGACTAATTGTAGTTTCTTTAAAGCTGTTAGTAGTCATGTCTGTTCTG